GGTTCATATTGGTTCTGTTTGAACATATAAATTATGTGGGTTTTCTGATTTTTTCAACTTCTTCTCATGTTACAATCTGAATCCTGCGCCGGATTTAAGTTTAGTGTCTATAGTGCTACAAGTGGGTTATATGACCTTCTTGTCTACGTTCAGTTCTGGTGTCTACTGCAAATACACCTTTTGGACTTCTACTCTGGGCGCAATTGAACCTCAGGCATCTCCAAAAATCCAACTTCTATATATAGATTCTACTAGTAGCTACGCCTTTCAAAATTCATGGCGCGTTTGAGTCAATGATGCATGCAAATGAGCGAATTCAATAGAATCTTGTCCGTTCGATTGATGGCTTCCAAACATGTTTTTGAATGGGGACTGAATCAGGGCGTTTCCTGATACAAGTGTTGGGGTGATAGCACTTCACTATGCCTTACAGATACTCGTTCAGGAACAGATGATGCAAACTACTCTTGGTGTCCAGAACAGCAGGTCCATAAAGGTGTTTTTGAGCAGGTGTATAACGGCCGATGCCTGTCTTTGATTGCAGCCATTTGGACATTACGAAGAACTCTGAATAGTCAACATGATGCAAACAATAGTCAACGTGTTTAACAAAAGGTATAAGCACTTTTGTTCCTAGTAGCTTATTGCTCCTAGTATTAGGGCAGGAGCCCCTAGTAGCGTCCTTGCTCCTAGTAGTGATGCCCTTGTTACTACTGACTATCAATTGAGGGCAAGATCAAGCAACATGAAACATCAGCTCTCATCAACGAACGAACGCCCAGGGTGATCTGAGTCCGCGCAAGGCATGTCATGGATGCAAAACCCAAAGATCTGGATGATTTGGACGGAAAAACCACTTCATGATAGTCCATGAATTAGTATCACATGCTATAACATACTATATACTATGCATATAGTTATATATATATATACATATCCAACCTGTAAACTCATGTAAAATCACTCTACCTAACAATCTCAAGTTGATTCTTCTCGCCTTAAAGTCGTCCTCCTCACCGACATGAATGGCCACGCAGAGGAGTTCTTTCCGAGCGAGTTGGGCTTAGACACGTTGCTTCTCATCATGCGGATCGGGTGGCTCGGATTGTGTGCGCCTAAAGGTCGGGTCTATCGGTCTATCATGTTTCCAAGACAGGAACGCCCTGGAACGCCTATCATCGATGATGATGCAGATGATTGCAAGCATCGGTCCAAGGTGGCTGGACTGAAAAAACAAATCGACCAACAACTGGATGACACTGCGTGTGAGTGATCAAATGATGCAAAGCAAGGGACATTGGACAAGTAAAACCTGCTTGACATTTGCCAAGTGGATAGGGGCGACATAGACTCTTGACGAGCATGCTGGGAGTCTAAAACCCCGCAGGCCGATAAATTTGAGGATGTCCATGGACAACACAATTAGTTTTTCCGGCACTCATGTAGATCCTCACTCTATTTGAGGGTACCAAATGGATTTCTTGACGTGATGTTGCCGGAGCGTGGTACCTCAACAGAAGTTGGTGCTGGTATGTTGGATGCCTGCCCAAATGAACACTTGTGGAACATGCGTTATCCCAGGATCTCAAATAGGGTTTACTAATTGGCTCATCGGCACAACTGACATCCGCTGACTCAAATAAAGCAAGAGGAGTATGAAACAGCGCTTTGCTTTTCTGCAGTCTCAATGTTTTTGTTTGAAAGCAACAAAACAACATCACATGACGCAGACCATGAATACCCCCAGAATCTTGCAACTTGTTCTCGTTCTTGACCTTCATGATTCATCAGACACAACGTTTTGTGGACAAGCTCCAAAGAGGTGTGTGTGTGTGTCCAAGGGGTATCTTACCTTGTTTGACAGAAGCACGTGGCTCTTGAAGGGCCGTCACTGGCAGAGGAGCAGACAGACCAGACCGACCAGACCGAGCAGACCGAGGAGATTGACTGGAGGAGAGCAGCGACGGCCCGGAAGAGAGAGTTTCTTCTTGGGCAAATAAACAGCAAAGGAAGATTCATCCTGCAGACTCACATGGACCCCCCAGCATCCCCCAAGAACCACATGGTTTGCAGAGGAAAATGCTCAAAACCACTAATTACGGTGAATTCTCAGACAGAGTCTTTATGCTCGCTCCATCTGCAGCCGAGTCTGAAGGCACTTGCAGTTGACATTGACAGGAGCCATATGAAATGGACATTGACTCCTGGTGGGATACCAAAATTGGGGGGAGTTTTGATCATTTTGGGATACCAAGATTGGAAGTTTCTGGTAGGTTTTCGAAACAAATTGGCTCTTCTAATCCGGATGCTACTCCGTCCCCGAAAAGGAAAACGACCATACCTCTCTCTGGACTCATCCGTATCGGATCGGCAGGACTCATCCGTATCTCTCCAAGCTGCCCTCCGAGTGGTTTGAATCTCGAAACGGCCGTGCCTTGGAAGACCAAGCTACTAGGGGCTAGGAGCAATGTTCGCTACTAGGGTCTCCGCATAAGCAAGGACGCTACTAGGGGCTCCTGGCCGAACTACTAGGAGCAAGGACGCTACTTGTACTAGGGAAGCTAGGAAGACACGGGGCCTCCGTGCAAGTGTTCCCCTGGTCTGCCGGTGCATCCCGTAGGATGGTGAAAGAATTCGAGGCGTCCCAACATGGTTTGTGTTTTTAAATATGGTTGGCAAACTTTCTGCAGTGGCAGTATAGGATCTTCCCTCTGGGTACAGGCCCTCTACATGTATATATAAGATATATACCACATGATATTTCAGTTTCGTCCAGCTGCCATGCATTGGTGCTGTGGGTTCAAGACCGAACTCCGAATCGATCAGACTGGCCCGATCGAACTCCACCTTGGCTTGGAGCATTTGTAGACACTGGCTGGGATTCTTTGAATATCCGAAAAGGCGTACTCTTAGACTCTTAGTCTTTTGGGTTTTGAGGGGATTTCTTACTAACGCGTACTCGTAATCTCGTAGCAAAGGACCTATGAATAGCCATACAAGGATGATAGAATCAGTTGAAAGCTGGTGCGAAAGCACACCGAAAAGTCTGGTAGAAATCGCATGGTTGATTTTCTGGTTTGGTGTTCGAACAAGTTGCAGCCCATGGGAGCCTTACAGCGAAATCGATGATCAATATACCCATGTCATTCGTGTTTGAAGAAACACTAATGCCATTTCTTCACTAAATGAAGTGGAGAGCATGAAGCAGCATGATGAGTTATTTGTTGCGAGACTTGCATGAAGATCAACAACCTCAACACATCACTGTTATAAGATTATATGTGCTTCCCAGCCTCTATATATACTGGTACGTTAATAACTTGAGGTATGTGGGCAATTTGGTATGTCTTAGCAGGTTCTGAAGGGTGCCACAGAAATCCCCAAAAAACAAAGTGCCAGCCTATGTCCCAAACATAATCTGGACCCTGCAGGTTCATGACCTGACAGTCTCACTTGGGAATACACCAATATTTGGTTGAAAGGCACAAACATATGGAACAATGCAGGTTGAGCAGCACCCGGACTCCAGAAGACCGTTGGGTCAAGATCCAAGGCCTCAACACTAAGAGGGTTTCTGTCGTGCGAACATCCGTCGTCTCACGGGTTTCAGACGGCATCCGACTTTCGTTTCGGATTGCTCTGAGGCGATCCCTTTCCAAATGCCAGTGAGGGGCCCATCTACAAGCCCAAGGCGCATACCCAGAAGTAGTCAGTAGTCGGTGCCGAAAGGGGTTTGAGACCCCATGAGGAGGGCGCTGAAAGACTCCGCCTTGGACGCTCGAAGATGAATTTCCTTTAATCCTCTTGACTTGGGACGGTTCAACTCAATTAGTATTCAGGGAAGTACAGAAAGAACACGTCGTGGAAAGCCCAGAGCTAGCTTGGTGGGTTGAAAGCCTCAAATCCTTGCTTGGATGGTGTAGTTGATCAATTTATACAGTGACAGTTTGTGTGATGGACGCTGGGTACGGGCAATCACTGACCTTCAACAAAAAAAGCTTCCGACCCGACCCCCCAAGAATGTGCTTGAATGTCCTTGTCATGTCCCTTGTCCCTTCATTTGATTGTTGTAGGTCAAGACCTGGTAAATCTCAGCAACAACGACCAGGATGTGACACTGAGATGTTTGAGACAATCGCCCTCTGCAGAATCAGAAGAGTTTTTTAGTTCAGAGCAGCTTTGATGCTTGAGAGATTTGAGAGGGAGGAAGACACAGTGAAGAACAATGAATAATTTCCTAGACGTTTTGCACAAATCCCATTGAATCCCATTGATGATATTGATGAACATCTAAGTTCTTTAATCCAAGGAAGTCTTGAGGATGAAGATGCTACAGTAACATACGGTACCGACGGTCACGCAGACAGATTCTCAACTTGTGAGCCAGGGCCGTGCCAAAGTGCGTGAAAAGCTAGACAAGCTCACGGATGACGCTTGGATCAAGCAGGTGGATCTGTGGGCCACCAGCCGGACCCTAGGGCGGACCACGGAAAAGGAAGAACAGACTACCAGATAGGTCAAGCTAGGAGGGTGTGAGGTTCTTGACCCACAGCCATATATATATATATATCATATAGCTCCAGGCCCAGGAGCCTCCCAATGCTTCGGGATGGTCACTGAAGGTGAAAACGACTGAAGACTGAACTATCTTATACTTATGCCCATGATTTTTTGGGGGTGATCCTACCAAACAAGCAGTGAACATATTTTGCCAATAACACTTCCTCGTTGCAAGGGTTCTGAATTCTTCTGCCGTCTCGCCTATAATGGCTAAACCTTTTCAGGTGATGGTAGCACACGCAAACATAGAATTCGAATAATTAGAAGCCCTGCTTCATTTCAACCAGTAACGACGGAAAACATGACTCGAGACTGCATATGTCGCCTGAACCCGGCTTTTCCTTTCATGTTCATCGCTAACCACTACTGAATTTGACATGTGGACTTGCATGGCCATATCAAAATCAAGGAGTCGCTGCGAGGAAGAACCGGACACTGCAATGGTCTCTGCCAGGGTGGACTATTTAGCTGCACGTTATGTGAGGTTGTCCATTTGGTTGTTTGCTGGGACACGACGTAAAGAAGGGAGCCCGGAGCTGCTTCGGCTGAAACAACGCTTGAACCTCAGCCCTCAGGAAGTGGTGGAGCCTCTCTGCAAGGTGGTCGAAGCGGGTGATCGCCGATTGATAGATGTCAAGTGAATGGCGAGGGAAAGGGCGTTCATCCCACAATGCAGCAAATTTCCCGTTCACGTTCCGGTTTAGTTCACGGCGACCTGAACCGAACCGTTCCCGTTCACGTTCCCGCTCACGTTCGGTACACCCTGATCAGATGATCATGATATATATACATATTTCATATTTCCTTTCTGCTTCGAGGAGAGCCTCCGTACTAGCCAGGTGCTTGACCGTGGCCAGTAAGGGATGGTTGTGACCAGGCTTCATCAGGGATGTTGATTGACTGAGGAAGACTCACTATACTATAGAATATTATAGAATCCATGTCCTTCTAGGAAACTGCTACTCGTGACCAATCTTCACATTTCAGTATTTGGCACCTTTTGTCCAGTCCGTGTGGTTCTCCTGTTTAGAAGAGGGGCAGCAAAGCTACATGTTCCCTGCCTTCCGCCAACAAAAGCCGTTTGGAACTCGGTTTATAAGTGTTGGACTCGAACCACAAGGTTTGTTCCACCCAAAGAAATCCCTTTGTTCTCCCACCAGCCTTGTTCCCGTCAGTTCCCTTTGACACTGAAGCATAAAGGACTTTGAGTTAAAGAACTGGACCATGGATTTCATACTTGACAGGTCCAAATCAAAATAATCAAATCTGAGAGGTCCGCATAATCCTTTGAGGAATCTGACTCTTTTGTTGATCCTCCTCCCGGACCTCCTCCCAAACCTGGTGCTGCAAACAAAGCATCAGCATGCCGGACATGTGCAGCCCGGGGCGATGTTGCAGACTGGCCAGGGCCTTCCCGGAAGTCGAGATTCGATGAAGCAATACACGCGCGGCAGTCTCAAGTTGAGGTGCCACGGTGTCATGGGCAGTCTCAAGCACCCACGCAGGGCGAAGGTGATCGGTTCTCCAAAGGGATCAGCGCGGCTGTCGAGGAAAACATGTTTGTTGTCCAATTTGGTTTGACTGGGTTTGGGTCGTACCCTGCCATTGGACAGTCCACGTGACCTCCAATAATTGGGTGACATCAAGTACGATCCCTACAAAACTATGCCAAACATGGCCAAACTACTATAACAACAATGGGATACTGTATCATTGAGTTTGCTGTTCCAAAAGGAGTGGACCCCCCAAAACTTTGATTTATATAAGCTCGTGGAGGTGATTTCAGAGGTTTTTCGCAGATGTTTCTCGTTTGACATCCGCCTGATAAAGAATTGCAAAAGAGGAATGGAAGAAGTAAGGAGCAGATACACACTGACCAGTGAGACTTGGAACACATTCGCATCGACTTGCACAGTTGGAGAGGAACATGAGGAACATCAACCCTTGGTCCACTTCCGTGAAAGCCCGTGAAAGCTTGCATGTAGCTGAGCCTGAATGAGTGGGTAAGATGTAGGCCTTCCAGCAAAGGGACATGTGTATAGATGGGGAGCTACGTTACATCAACGAGTGTTTTGGGTCTATCTTCTATGAAAGTAACAACCTTTCCGAAAGTACCAGGGCTTTCGCGTCCGTTCTTGGGGTGATTGATGACTTTGGTATGTCCTGCTCGCATTCCGGCGGGCTGATGTAAAAGTCTCCAAAAGGACCGGCTGTGGGCTCGTCACTCCCTGGCTCCACTCATTGGCTCGTGGAGTTCACCACCTGTGGGCTGGAGGTCGTCCATAAGGGACCATGCCATCCACTTCCGTAATGATTCCAGGGAGTGCAACCATGCCATCCACTGCAGAACACTGTACAGGGATATCATGACTGTCGACCCTCCAAGGGCTGTGTAATGGAAACCCATACCAAGTGTTGCCTCATGTGTAATCCATTCGCAACCTCGAGTGATGAACAGTGCCAGAACTGTAGGGTAACACCCTCCGAAACCGAAGGCAACCGAACAGACGAAGTCCAGCCCATCGCCACCGACAGCGTCTTTGCCGCCAGTGACCTCAGTGAGCTCATGAAGCACTACGACCAGCTGGCGGGATATGACCCTGACAACCGCGAAGTGCCGCAGGATACCCTCTTCTGTGGACCCGTTGAAGAGGAGAGACGGGGGTGGAATTGGAAGGATGGGAATCGGAGGACGAAAAGAGGTGGACGCTTCTTAGGGTTTGGGTCGGAAAGTCTCGATAATACGTTGACAGAACCAATGATTCCAAAGTATAAGAAAACTGGAGCATCATCACTTGTCCGTCTTGGATTCCATAAAAGTTTGGTCGGTGGCATCAACTCACGACCGGTCTTGCCTTATCCGGACAAAGTGATTCAAATACTGTGTGACTATGCCTCTCTGCCTGCACAAACTTATCCACATCATGTTCGTTTGCAGCTACCGCCGCTACAATGCGCTAGTCCACTTGAAGCACCCTTTGTTGAAATTCCTTTCAAACAGCGAAGCGGTTTGTACCAACGGATTAAGAAGTGCATACGGAACCACATAACCCTTGAGACAATTGACATCGAGAACTGAGTGGGCTTTTTAATTCAGAATTAGCAATTCAGTCGGGTTGATCAAGTTCTTTTCTGCAATGTACAGGGGTCAACCTCTGGTTTGGGTGACATTTTCGATATGTGGATACTTGTCTACCTTCTAGCACCCCACGTATGTGGAAGGGCTTAGAGGGGCAAACATTTGGACTGTTCGCAAGTGAGTGTGTGGGAGATGTTGTTTTTTTTTTCAAGCACTGGCCATGCTATATAGCATGGGGGTGTGATTTTTGAGGTTTGCCAAGTGCGCTGTACCCCTGCATGTTTGATGAGTGCGGAAGAGATGACGCTTTTCTCACGCACCGGAGCAGAGACGGGGCCTTGTAGACTCATGTTAACTGTCAGTGGAGCTGCTGCACGGATCCTTGCACACTGACGTCACTCCCCATTGTCTGTGGTTCAGGAGACATGGCGTATGCGAAGGACTCGGTGATGGGCTGCGCTGGCAGGGATGGGAAGGTGAGTGGTCCAAGACCAAGGGACCAATGATGACCGATGTGTATTTCTTTTGGGCAGGGATGGTGCGAATTTCTTGAACACCGTTTGCACATGTTTGAACAAATATGGCACTTAAACAGCCAATGTTATACGCTCTTGGGCACATTGAACAAGTTGTGCTTGTTCTCTCGCATTCTCTCGCATTCAAAAATGAAAGACCCTTGCAGATCTTGGATGATCTTGTCATTTTATTTCAGCTGCACTGTTTCTTAGAGGTTTTTGGGACGCAGAATAATTGCAAAGTGAGCGACTTAGCTTCTCTAAGTGGCTCAAACTTGTGTCTATATGTCAGCACCAAGCTTGCACCTGAGACTTTTCAAGTCTAGCCGCTGCTGGTTCTGGTATGTTCTGGTTACAGATCCTCATGGTATCGCGTGGGGCCAAATTTTGCAAAAAACCATATCAGATGGTTTGAGAACTCCCCATGTCTCGTTTTTTCTGCAGGAAATTGAAGACTGGGATGTACACCCACCGCATCAGCCACTTGGAAAGCGGGATTGGCCGCCGCACCGGACCGACCACCGGTTAGACCGCGGGTCGGGAAGACCGTGACGCTTCGACGTCGCTCAGGTGCCAACTACTCCTGCAACGAATCGCAGTTTTCGAGCCATGCACAAGCGCGTTTCTACCTCCAGCCCTGCGACGAGACCGCACCCACGCGTGAAGAGGCCGAGCTGGAGCGTGTTTTTGGACTGCGAGCACTGGCACCATGGGCCGGCACCAGTCGTGGAGACCTCACGAGTTCAGGGTGCAAGCTTGTTTTGTGCTGCAGTCATGTGCTGTTTGCAGTGCAAGCTTGTTTTGTGCTGCACTCATGTGCTGTTTGCAGTGCAAGCTTGTTTTGTGCTGCAGTCATGTGCTGTTTGCAGTGCAAGCTTGTTTTGTGCTGCAGTCATGTGCTGTTTGCAGTGCAAGCCAGTGCAAGCTTGTTTTGTGCTGCTGTCATGTGCTGTTTGCAGTGCAAGCTTGTTTTGTGCTGCTGTCATGTGCTGTTTGCAATCTCGTGGACATTGTACAGTGCAAAAGCATGCAAACGCGTTTTGCGCAAACGTGGGTTATGTGTAAGTGACACGCATAAGCAGATGTGGACCGTGATTGATACAGCTGAGAGATCCGTTGGATGAGATTTCTTGTCCGTGGGCCACTTTATGGGTTTGTCTTTGTGGTTGAATTTCCCAATAATGATAGGAACAAGAAGCTACTAGTAACAAAGGGCATCGCTACTAGGAGCAAGGACGCTACTGGTAGCTCCTGGCCTTACTACTAGGAACAGGAGGACGCAAAGTTCATGGACATGAATATCATTCAACTGATTTGATCCAATTGTGTAGGCAGGTCATGGCTGCCCAGCCCTCTGGAACGAATGCAGGGTGGACATTCCAATGGCCATGTTTTGATCTTGACCTTTACCAGCCGCGAGACATAGCTGAGACTCCTAAGATCCACTAGACCACAGGTTGTTGAAGTGTGTTGGAGATTTGGACGCGAAAAGAATCAAACACAGGCATCTTTTGACTTCCCATGTTGCTTCCTTAAAAGGGCTTGAACATGCTTGTGATTTCGATTTCCGCGATCGATTTCGCAAAGTTCTCGTGCACCCTGTGTGCAGGCACCTTTCGTTCCCAGAAAGCTCAACAAGCTTGGCATCATGGAGACTTAGTGCTCAACAAGCTGCAAAGCACTGTGGGCACGGGAGAAATCCACTCATCATTGTAGTGAACTTCTAGGGAAGATCGAGGGCCTGCCGCCCTGCCACGTCCCCACAAGTTGGTGTTAGTACATCACAGTTCTCACTACCGAGGTCCTCTAGTTTATATCCTTTGTATCATGATATATAATGCTATATATATATATATTTTAGACTATATATATTTGTTTATAGATAGAACTATATATATACTAGGTTTCTGTTGAACAAGTGATCTCCGTTTTTCTTATCGGGGCTTCTTGAGATCGTGCAATTTTTTTGGAGATGTTCCACAATGTTCCACATGTGTTTTGTTACTTTTTAAAGTACAGTATTTATTTGTTACTAAATATACATGTTTATTTTGAAATACGCCCTTCAATGCCCTTCGTTTGAAGAGTCCGTTACCCCACTAAACTGTTTTTGTTGTTTGGGGGCAGTCCTTCTTGCCGAACCGTTTTTGTGAAATGCCTAGTGTGTTTCTTTGGACAGGCCAGCTTTTCAGCTGATGTGTGCTTATTGTTTCAGGGCACCACTTCTTGCCCAACTGTTTTTGTTGGACACGTTGACTTGTTCAACTGAACAGTGGGGGTTCCGCCTTTCTTGCCCAACTTGTTTATCTAAATTCCTAGTGTTGGAAAACCGCGCTGGGGCCTTTCTTCATTCATCGATTTGTCGTTAATTAACCATGTGTAAACATGTGTTCTTGCCGATTGGTCCACTGAACTGTGCTTCTTGTTTGCTCCGCAGCCAGCCTCGCTCGCTGAACACCCCGTCGGACACCGGGGCCCTCCCGGTCGGGGTGTCCCTCCCCGCCGGTCATCGGGACGAGCCGCGACGAGCCGACGGACGGTGCCCAGCGGTGTGCGTCTCGTCTCAGACAGCGCTGGCCGTGTCGACAGCAGACAGCAGACAGGAAGTGATACATTTCTTTTGATTTGGGGTGAGGTTTAAGATGCTTTAACCCATGGGGTTGGAGGAAGACCATGTGTTTTTTTCTTTTTGCATATTCAAACGTTTGCACTAGGTCGCAAGGTGATGCTGGGGCATTTTCCTGCACCTGTAGAGCTTCATTGGAGTAGGTGGATGGATGTATTAACCTCATTCCACCTCCCACACTTGGGACGAAGGGGACGGAGGTTGTGAAGAATTCCACATGTCTTGGCCACATGCTTTGTCATGGACAGGCGCCGTTGGCGTCACCGCATGGCATATCCCTCCCTCTACAAGCGTCGCTGTCGTGGGCGCTGAGGAAATGGACGTGAAGCCCACTCTGAGAGGCTGGTCGACCGACCAGTCGCCGGGTGCCACGTGAGTGCCACGTGCCACGTGAGCTGCTTGAGCTTTCCCCGTCTGCGATCACGCGGCCATCGCGAAAGCGAAGGAAAGCGAACACGGGCACGACGGTGGGGGGCACAACGTGGAGGTTGATGTGGTCAGGTCGAGGTCGCTGGGGCTCGGCTCCAAGGTTCGGCTCGGTCGGCCAGGGGGTGGCCGATGGAATTGGCTGGGAAGATCCTGGTCCAGACATTTCAAGACAGATTTGGGCAGGTGAACCGTAAAATGTTGGCAGGTGAACCCGTGAAAGGTGAGGTCCAGAAATTTTAAGCAGACTGCTGTTGATTCCAGACAGACAAAATCAGGATGTCCCACATCACTGTATGACCAGGGGCTGAGACATCCATTCTTAGGGTCCAAGTATCATTTTTTTCGGACGGCTTTTGGGTGATGTGGGTCATGTCGTCACAATTTGGTTTCAGATGGTCTGAGACTTGATGGTCATTCATCACCTTCCATTCTTAGCTGACCGGACCCGTTGGGCGTTTCAAATGGTCTTTCCCAGGTCCGGTGGGGCAGCGGGTCCGGCAGGGGCGTTTGATACCAAGGTCCTTGGTGGTCGTTGAGACCATCGACCACAAGCCGGGCGCTCAGTTCAGTGGAGAAGCGCCCCTATAGGTGGCGGCGGTTTCATGATGTGTTTACTGTGTTTGTTGTTTCAGGAAGAGGAGACGAAGGACCAGGAGTAAGAGGAATTCCATCCATCTTGGTATTGTCATGGAAACACCCTGAAACACCCATCCTGAAAGAAGAGAAGCACGCATCATCCCAAGTCACCCACACAACTTGCAGAAAAGGAAGATACATTCATATGCATTCCTTTGTCATGGAAACACTGCAGCTTGGAAGAACTTTGCACCACTACCCCAGTACCATCAACATCCTGGTGACCTGGAATGGGAGAAGCAGCGCCTTGGTCCCACCTTTCGCGCCTGCTCAAGGCCCGACCATCCCACGGAGAAGCAGCGCATCGAGACCGCGGGTGGCACGGTCTCCTTCGAGGCGGTCTCCACGGTGAGAATGATGAAGCCACATGAGCAGCGTCGGCGCGTCGACGCGGAAGCCGACGCGTCGACGCAAAGAAGGTTAATGGCCACAAGACCAAAGGGTTTTGACCACCGCCCACCGAACTTGAGGATTGCGCCATCGGCCATCTGAAACCACTGCAAGTGTGCTTCATGCATGCGTGTGCCTCATCCCCACAACCTGACAGATCAAAACCCTTTGGGTTTTGGCAACCTGATCAGGATGATTTGTAAGGTGAATCGATTTATCAATCTATACGATCTCCTTATGGACTCATGGACCAACATGTTTATGGTGAACACCCTAGTCGACTAGTCGACTCTTATAAACATGTTTGTAGAGCCCGAGGAAGCACAATTCCGGGATTGATTGGTGATGCACATACAGAACAGCCAACATCCCATCTACATCCCATCTACCACCCTCCAACAGGCTGCTTGGTGACCCTAACTGTGGAACGATCTTGGCTGATGGCGGACAGCGACGATAGCTGGGATCATGTGGATCCATTGGTTGAAGCCGAGCCAGTGGTGCAACCCCCGGAGCGGTGCAACCCCAGGAGCGGTGCAACCCTTTCAATAAGGGTATAGGCAAGGAGATGTGCGAGCGAGAGGACAAGCGACTTTAGTGGATGAAGCGCCCGCACCTTACAGACCTCCTGCATTGAGGCATGACATTCGTCTTGGTAGGCCTCAAGGTGGACAGCAGCATCAGAACCATGTTCAACTGAGTTTCATTCCAGGTCCTTCTTGTGTGGATGATTCTGGAGAGTGGTCGCGCATTGTTCCAGAGGGAGCAGCCGTGTACACGTACGGGAAGTCGACTGTAGTGCATGTTGATTGCCATACTCTGTCTTTCAGGCGACAGATTGAAAGGGGTGAGCGTGATGCGAACGTTTGGGAGGATCACTGAGAGCAGCATTTTGGTCTTGGACTCAAGCCATTTTTTGCATCAGAGCTGTCAGTGTGAGAGAGATTCAGAAGGTTCGATCGTCCGGTGCGCCTTCCATCACACCGGATTTGCTGCCGTATGCGGGATGGACCTCCCATCTCGCCTTGAACACTGCTCGCATCAGACATGTGAGTTTTTGGTGTGATATGAATAGGCGTGCCGTTTTATGAGCATTTGTAAATGCACCGTGTTTGGGGAACAATTTGCTCAGGAGGCTCAGGAGATGTGATGAATTTGTTGCTTTTCATTCCATGAAGCTACGTGCAACCTTGGAGTGGCGAGATCACCAATGAGACTGATTGAATGCTAATTTGGCTCAAGGAGAAAAGTAACATATGAAATCGTGTGAAGCCGTCGGTTCGCCATATTTTTCTCCTCCGAGCGCGGCGATTCAATTTTTGGTATTTGGTTCTGCATATTTGACTTGAATATTGAGAACTGGGATCCGTTGGAATTTATCTCTCCGCACTAACAGGTTGTCACCAAGAGACACCTGTTGGAGGGTGCTGATACACGGGTGGGTGTGTATTAGAATAGTGAGGGAGACCTGAGACGTCCAGGCAACGACACCGCTTTGGAAACTAGACCAGCCTACCTAGCCAGGGGCGAGCTTGTGGGGGTCGCAGAGGGGTCTCCCTCTCCCCACCAACAAGACACGTCCAGCCCGTCTAACGGCCCAGTCTCCGCGCGCTTGACCCACCTGCCGGTGCTGTGAGTCCATCCGCGTGACATGCCGCCAGGACCCGCCGAGACTGGATGGGAGCTTGGCCGTGCCCTGGCGTTCTTTTCTTCCGGGGTGGTTCAAGAGGCTACTGGCAAGACCAACAGCTGCAGAAGTGCAAAAAGTGTAGGGGTGGTTCTTTTTTTCACCTTGAGAAGCAGATCCAGATGTGATCCGCTGGGAGCAATGAGATCCACTGGGACAGTTCTGCTGTGTTTTTGAGCCATGCCCATGATTAAGATTCACCTGAGAACGCTGAACAGAAGAGGCCGCTGGTGTTCTTCACCACAAATTCTATGAGGTTTTTTGGCGGATAGTATGGACGTAACATGGAAAAACTAATGTATTTGAATTTGTGCCATTTGTGCCACGCCGTGAAGGAAAAACACGTCTCACCAAGAACTGCGTTCCCCACTGTAGGTCCCTATTTTGTTAACACATGCATACATACATTGAGATGGTTGTGAACATCTCCAAATGATCAATTTGTTTGGCGCAGATAGAATGTGGGCAATCAATCACGAATCATCATACCCTCAGGCCCTTTTCTTGCATTATAATGCAGAAGAGTGGTGCCGAGCAGAGTCGAACGAATAGTTGTATCTAGAAATGAACCTGTGCTGCTGGAAAATGCTGCCTCCTTTCTCGTGGTTCGCCTTTTTCTCTTCAAGAGCCAAGGAATACAACAAAAAACATTTCAACATTTCTATCATCAAAGTTTGCTCGTTGGACTCAGCTGATTGGAACAGTGCCACAACCATTTGCTCGTGCCCTTTGGGACACGCACCGTTCAGTAGCACAGGAATGGACCAATTTTATGCTGTTTTGTCACCCCCTGGTTCATTTTCCAGACTGCCTCATTCCTCCCTGCAACATGTGTCGATCAGATCAATCCCCTCCCACCACACCGACCACCATGCTCAAAATACCGGACCCTCGAACGACCTGCCGTGCCGTGAGGTCAGTCGAGGCTTGGGGGACTTCGAATACAAAGCCGACGGTCCGGAGGCTCAAGGCATCGGTACCGCGGCGGGCGCCGCGCTGTGGTGGCAATCTTCTCAACAGTCAATCCACTGGGGTTGGCGATCAGTAACCCAAACATACCCAAACCGTTGAATCAAGGCTGGCTGTGAACCAATACACCATCCTAATTAAATCTGCCACCACCAATCAGACATTATAATTTATATCAGAAATTCTTCACAGAAAAGGCCCAACCATCGCCGAGTTCAACATCTTCGTTTCTCCACAGACCGATCGTCGAAGAGTCTCTGAAGAGTCTCGGGCAGGCCAACCTCGTTGGTCCGTCCGACCCTGTCCTCTGGTCTCGGTCCGGTCGAGGAAGTGATGCTGAGGGAGTACAGAGAAAAGCGCGGTCAGTGTGACTTTCATCACAGTTCGCGTCGGTATGCAAGAGGCACTTTATCAATTATGCAGATCAACTTGGCCATGATTTCGTTGGCATAGCACTGTTTGTAGCTCCACCAGGTGTCTACATGTTTGTGTCAATTATAACTATGCGGGTATATGATCCGCCGTCAAACGACTCAAACTAGTTTAATCCAAACATGACCCCTTGAAGACAAGTTAGAAGGATTGAGGAAACCATCGGAACCATCCTGAATTAATCGGTTCCTTATAAGTTCGGGGTCTCGTGCACAAAAGAGTCGCTCACGACCAAGGAAAACGGACCGTGGGCGAGCAAAAGGTGGGTGACGAGGGTTTAGGGTCCGGGCCGTGGGCCATGTGAGATCATCGCGACCCAAACGGAGAGTCTGGGAACTGACCCCAACCAAAAACGCTGGGGTTCGATTCAAGCTCATGCACATTTGCAGCAGCTATCGGCGCTCGTTCTCGGATGACACCTTTCCCCTGCTTCCAGCAGATTCTTGGTCGAAGGGAATACGGAGTCTGCAAGGAATGCATTTCATGGGCGCAAGAACAAACCACTCAGCCCAACAGCCGGAGGGTCCTAGTGCGCGAGAACTACTGTAGCTGGGGTGCGTGGATTGTGGTGACATGACAGATGTTGAAGCTATACAATCAGCAAAGTGGGGCGGCAGAGCCATGGTTCACACAGGTTCATTCTCCGAAGTTTGTAGTTTTTGTTGGGATTCTGGGAGATGTAACCGGAACAGGATAGCCAGTGTCAATCCACCGAGATAGGATCGATAGGTTTGTGTGATCGAATTCATGGAATTCCTTTTGGCCTCACTGAGGTACGTCTAACACAGTCTAACCAGACTTACATGCCTCCAAGATTAGGTCTTCATCCGCAGGTGTCCTGCATTCCGGACATCTACGAAGTTTCTTCCCTCGCGCGCGGACACCCAGCAAGGAAAGAGTTCTTCGTCGCTTGGCAGACAGAATTGCCCGTTTGCAGCTTCTAGCAAAAATAATCAAAGATCTATCTACTTCAGGATGGACATAGCCATCTCGTCACCCTTTTCACCTGTAAGTTCATTCAGTCAGTCCAGCTCAGTCAGAACTCCGATCGCCTGCTTGCAGACAGCGATCTTCGGCTCGGGCACTACCTGGACCCCCCAAACCCATGGTTTCATTTGTTCTCTTTTGGGTAGCGATGCAGAAATCAATGGAGTGCCCATGTCCCAACACCTGACAACACCTGACAACACCTGACATTTCAACGATGCCGTTTACATGCAATACACAGGGTTTGGTCGTTTTGGACTTTGGCCAGCTCCCATCACCCTCCCTCCCTGCAAGGGCTTAACTTCTTTCATTTTTTGCCTCTTTTGTGGGCTGAAGCATGTCCGGCCCTTCCGGCTAGTCAGTGGCGACAGTCTCGGCTGTTTTGGAACATGGGTTTCCCATCCGGCTTCCAGGCAGAAAGAGAGAGTGGAAAACCCTTCCAAATTGCTCGGGCAGTCAGTATTGTTTGAGATAGATGCCAGGTTCACGGCTTCACAGCGACAGTTGGTAAAGCTTCACAGCCTCACAGCAAGCCGTGACCGAGAATAGGATGGATCCCGTGATGGATCCCGTCTTGGTTTTATGTGTGCCACGTGCCACGTACTTGCTAATCCGACCCTCAAGTGAAACATGTACAAGAGACATGCTTTTGTACCCATGAAAGGTTTAAAGTGTGGGTGGGCCCACCTCAATCACCTCAGCCTGTCTTGTTGTCCTGTTCCTGCCTTGATGACAGCAAGTCGCATTCAGCTCATACTGCATACGTGAAAAAAGCGACACACCCAAACACATCCCTTTATATATGATGAATAGTCAGTGTGCCTCAAGGATTGACTACACAAGGAGGCAAAGGTTTCACTGGCACCCATTTCAAGTTATAATCTATAGAGCATCACTGTCCGAACCCGCCAAGCCCTCAGAAACTCTGGGACTTCAAGCCCAACAAGGCTAGGGCCTAGGGTGTTCAAAGGGAGAAATAGTTGCAGTTGAGTCGCAAGTGGACGAACATGTTCCTGACCCACCGTATGAAAGTAGTAATGATGACGAATCAAGTCTCTCTCTGTACAATACGCATACATGTATCCAGAGTTCATAGCTTCAGGTTCCATCTCCTTCCATCCCATCCATCAATCATCTCCTTCGTTTCGGGGGAAAGTACTTTCTTTCCTTCGTATCCAGGCCCGGAACTTTGTGCATATTGGGCTGCGACGGGATCTGGGACGTCCGGGCCCGTCCCGGCCGCCGAGTCGCCGAAGACGCCGGACGGGTGAGACCGGGCACCACGGCGGGTGGCTCAGGTGGGTATTGCTATAGCAGTATGTGAGGAGCTGGAGAAGAGGTAAGAAGTAATCACCATGCTAATTGAAGATGGGTCGTGAACGAGAACTGCATTGCTTCTGAACCATGACCATCCAACGTCTAAAACCAATCAGTTCAAGGAGGGCATGAGGAAACTGCCAAATTCATCCAAGTGCACTCTATTTCCTTGACCGAATGTAACCCCTGGAAATCCAAGGATTGAGCCTCTGCCATTTCTGTCGACGGCTCCCGCTAGTTGCAGCTTCAGGGATTCTCCAGGTATTTGGTCGATCCTGGTCCACTTCCTGTGTCCGGCGGTGGTAGACACAGATCACTCGCCCTTGTCGCGCTAGGTATAACAGTCTAACCTCCTGTTTCGAACGGATTCGAAACGGTTCGAGCTTGGGCAACGCCGCCGGGTGCCCCGATCCCCTCCGATCATCCCAGGTCATGACGGCCGAGCAAGTGGCGGGGGGATCTCAGGGGCGCCGTGGAAAACGGTGCAGGACGAGTCATGCGATTCATGGTCTAACCAGGAGCTACGAACGGAACAAGTGCATCCCGCAACCCAAAACTCCCATCCAAAGGAACTAAAGGAACCTAGGAAACACCTTGCTAGTGTCAGACATACAGCAGTCATCCTGGGTCTGCTACAGGCAAAAGACAATGTCGTCACCTTTTTTGAGTGATTGCTACCCTGCCTTGGGGGGAAGGCTCTGCGGAAAGTCGTCTCTTTTTCCCAAACACAAGCGAACTCTGTTGGTTGGAAAGGGACCTACATTTAGGTTGTATGCTGGGGCTCTCATCGAAAGGTGTTTTAACGCTATACTGGCAACTCATAAGGGGTCAATAATGCCTGCTGAAGCAATGAGTTTCTGATTCTGCAGTGCTGCAAGCAGTCCAGGAAGCAACACAGTCATTTCTAGGCTTGCCAATGCAGTTCGCAATGGAACACCTGTGGACTTGGACAGATTACGCCAAGATAGCGAGAGCTACTGGTGGTTTGCTGCTGCTGCTGGCTGCTTGCTCCTGCTCATGGCAGAATTTCTACAGCGTTCCATTGGGATTGACGTGCAGGAAGCGGATGTAAATCAATCAAACCCACACTCTTTCAGAACTAGCTTAGCGTCCCATTGGTCTTTGCACTCTTTGGGTCGGCTTTTTTGGTGACAGACCTTGATTGGGTATCAGCGTTCCATTGGGGTTGGCTCCCGGATGACTTTTTGGAAACAGCGTTGCCATGGTGATTTGGCATTGAAACAGTGACCAGGGATGACTGAGGGATAACTTTGTCAGGTTCCTGTATAGGCTATAAATCCCAAGGGTGGACCTTGTATATGTTACTAGTAGCAAATTAACTACCAATAGGCGGCAACCTTTTCTGAGAATCCGGGCCCTCCAACGAGTTTTGAGGGTCCGGACCGCTGGTCTGGAAGGTCCGACCCGAAGATGTCAGGCCCACTCTCGGATTCTTCGGGTAGCACGCGGGTTTCGCGCGCGGCGAGAGTTCGCCGAACCCGAGGCTCAGTTGGTGTGCGAGGCATTGGCCACCGACCTGGAGCCTTGGCCGATCTGATCCTAGTGGTGTGCCCCCAAAGGGATCGTGGAGCCATAATTCAATGCTTAAGGGGCTTAAGATGGCTTAAGGTCTAATTCATGACTGTACTCTGGAGACATATGGTTTGGAACACTGCTCCATGTCCGGGTCTCCAATGGAGACCAAGAAAAAGCAGTGGAACACTGCTGGCCGGCCGACCCGGAACGGAAGCAGCTGGTTGGGAATCCCCAATCGAAGAGTCCTCAAAGCGTCTGTGGAGTCGTCCAAGCGGCCGTCTGTGGGTGCTGTATATTGGGAGGGATCGTTGGAAGAGTTCCAGGAGGAGAATACTTGAATACGCTATACAAACCTATGGAACATGATCAATTGAACAGATTCCTCTAAACATTCGGGATGTCAACCGTACTCGTAACCATGGTTTGTAGGGTGAGGTTTTGACCCGCACCCATATTCAAGGCATCGCCATTTGACGATCTTCGACCAATTTCACACCACGTCAGACTGCCGTCATGTCTGGTGGTCCAGCCACTCAACCCACGTTTTGGCGCTCCCAACTCACACAGCTCACAGAGCTCACACAGCTCACAGCTCTTCGTATCAGATCCGAGGATCTGGGCGACATCGCCGCGGAGATTTTGAGGCAGTGCCTTCAGAGGTGCCATGGGCAGGGGGCAGGGCAGGGGGCTGGGCTGTGGAGGCGGGAGTGAAGCCTGGGAAGTTATAGAAATAAACAAACGGTGCTTGACATGGAAGTATTACTGTATTATGAAGTATTGAGATAATGACTTGCTCAAATCGCCAAGATGTTTTGTTTGGGTTTCTATGTTTGTCAAACTGGCTCTTTCTGTGATCAACCCAGCATGTTTGTGTCGACGCTAACCCTGCCCGTCAGGAACAGTCGCGACAACATGACCTGCATGATCATGCACTTTGCTGATGGCAGTGATTGGGCAAACTTCCCAGACGAGATGAAGAACTACGACAAGCTTCTCGGCAAGACCTCAGAACCATGATCAAATACTTGACGCGAGCATATCCAAGCTCTTCTTGGTTGCAGGGACTTTCACTGACAGCAACCTGACTTGAAAGTACTAACACAGCCACCTAGAAGAGGAAAAACCAAAACACCTTTTCAATCCTCGGTTGAGATGCCGCAGGATGCATCTTTACGTTGGGAGGGCAAAGCACTTTAGGTTATTAAGGCTGTTGAGACACAATGAATGATAGTCAGTGCCTTCCTTTCTTTGGTCTTTGTCACAATCTCTTTTTTGCAACATGGGTACCTCATTCCACAGTTGCCTGGCAATGCCTGACACGTCCATCCTGTGGTTCGAAAGCTGTGGTAGACTTTGATGGTTCAGTTCCCTGGAATGCGGAGGACTGGCCACCTGAACGGTGCTGCGAAGCTAAGTCCATTTGTGCTCTGGTTTTGGCACCAGAAAGTGGCATGCAGGATTCGTGTTGCTTCAGGCTTTACAACATGACCACCGATTTGCAGATTTGCAGAATTTCGTTCTCAATCTCAAGATAAGGATCCACCATCATCATCTCGATTGATCACTGGCACTAGCAGCTGCGAATTCAAGATATTTACTGTAGGCAGCTCATATCGGATGCCAGACCGGACTGAGAAGCTCCCCTCTGGGCCCCACCGAACGGGGAGCCTCGGAGCGTCGGCCGGTGCGATTCATCCTCCAGGCTCGCGAATGGCGATCACGATGCAGGGGGGCCCCGGTGGAGGTGGTGGAACGAAGGAAATGGGCCCAGCATTTGGTCGATTCCCAGCACTCGTCGCATCGGGCACGACACTGTTGATTCGGACCCCGAAACGAACGGACGAGAGTTGCTGTTTACAAGGAATGACACGGACAAGGGAATGTTCATTGGCCGGGCCAAGTCATGACGTGAAGTTTTCGCACATCGAAGCATCCAAGTGCCTTTTCCAGTGTGCCAGACATGCCAAAAGTGATAAATACAATGTACAGTAACTCCTACCATGCACCCAAGTCTCAACCAATGAATGTTACCTGCCAGCCACGACCTGTGGGCATTTTTTCCTCAGGAAGATGTGCAGAGCCATTACGCCTCCTTCCTATCAACAGCCAAGTTTCCAGCGCAGGCCGGTCGCCACAGCAGCTTTTCGCCGGGTCGTGGAGGTCGAAGACCATTCAGTGATCCTAGATGATTCATAGAATTATACCAGCATAGACCCCAAACAGTTTCAAACCGATTTCAAAGATAGAAACCCAAGCGGAAAAACCTGTTTGGGGAAAAATCACACCCCGCGGGCGCCAAAAATGGAGACCCCAAGCGACCTGAGACTGCAAAATATATAATTATAAGCCATACAAGCAACTGAGTGTTCTGTTTGGTGTGCAGCATGTTTGTAACATGCGGGACTCATGCTTCATGTTCATTTGAGTGTTTTGGGAGCCTCAACTAAACCTGACCCCAATAGAGGAGGAGCGAAGCCATAGCCGCCGTGAAGCCAGAATTTGCTTGGGAACATGTCGTTGATGGTTTCTGCAGTTTGACAGATCTACAGAATCATACCGGGTATATCCGGTGGCAACTTTGTACCGCACATGTAGAATGTCCACGAAAAGAGGAGACATTGGGTGACCCGAAAAGTTACTCTCGCATACTCTTGCTATCTCTTGCTACTTCAAACGTCGCAAAAGATCCTCTTTGGACTTGGATGGACGGCTAGTTCGACATCTGGGACGTTTGATGTGCGGGTCTCAGGATTGTCATTCCCATTGCATGTTTTCTTCAGAGAAGCAACACCGAACAAGCCCATGGGCGCCATCGAATATATCCGGCCTTCTTCGAGTCTTCTGCAGGCGGTTGCCTGTGACGTTTGTCAAAGATGGCTGGTGCAAATGCAGCAGTTCGGGTAGCCCAGAACAGTGTCTATAGGTCCATCTCACTGATGGCTTCAGTATCAAGCATCGTAAAGGGCGGTGGCATGCGACTGCCATCCGTTTTGTTTGGGAATATCATGGAATATCCACTGGAACCGGCATGAAAGGGTTGAACTTGTAAGACAGTGCACATAATATTTGCTTGCTTACAGGTGGGTGTCTCTGAATTCGTTGGCTCTAAATCGAGCGCCGCTTTGAATTCGTACTTGACAGAACCAATTTGATCACCGATTTGAAGCATGTGTTCCTGTTCATCGGACAGAAACGTACTCCATACCGTCCAACTCTGCTTCATCCGGTCACTTCTCCGAAACGGACGACCTTTGGACGAAGCAGTCGGACCGGCAGAAGCCGGGTGCCGGTGAGGTGCACTTGCAAACAGACCTTCTACTGCAGCAGGTGCGGGCTGGGAAGGGGTTTTGTGACTAGTCATGACTAGTCACGTCCTTGCGGGCAGACTCGTACACAGGATATTATTTCAAATTACATTCAATATTTGTGATGGGCATTAAGAAAGATAGGTTTTTGATGGGCTTTGAACTTCATCCTCCAGTTCTCTTTGAGGAGAATGGAACTATGTCCATTGTGTTGTTCAACATAAATGACATGAATGCAGCTTTTGTGCTGGTGGCAAACAGTGGCGAAGACACTCAGAGGCTATTACAGTGTTACAGTAAATGCAGCGAATCCGGATTTTTGTGTGAAATTCTGAAGATTTCGAGATTCCACGCACGTCCTTTGGCCCAAAAAAAAACCAAGCAACAAGCGCCCAGCCACTGCTTCTTGCTCGTTGGGAGGGGGTCCTAGCTGAGTCGTTGGCACCTACGGTGTCGGTCCCCTATGTTTCTTCAGTTCGAGTGTTCTCCAACTCTCCACTTAAGTTTGAGCAAATTCATGTTTCAAGTCTCTCTCTCTCTCTCTGACGCACAGCTGGTTGTTTCTGAGGCATTGCCAAAAGAAAGGTTGGAAGGCGAATCCGGAATCCGAGAGTGAGGCGTTTTCGCTGGTTTCAACGGCTGAAGGAAGAAGTCCTGCAGAGTTTGGAGAAGAAGCCTCACTATAAGTTGGAGCATTTGATGGGATTTCGAACAGTAGGGGTGAAACCCTGCAGATAAACATTCCTTCAACTTCAACTTTGTAGACTGATAGTGTTCATTTTGGTGTTCACTGGTGCAGTGTTCACTCGAAAACACTCTGGAATGTGCTGGGAAATAAGTATATACACACATAATATATACACTATAACTATACACAGTAGCAGTAGCACCCTGCTGTTTGTGATCCGAGTTTTGCCTGTAGAAGTTGTTTGGGACGACTCCTCTACGAGAGAGGTGTGCTTATGCATGATATAACTGAGGTTCTTTACAAATGGTCATAAGAACTCTTGAATCTCCCCTATCCCTGTCCGCAATCTATGTTTTCCGGCCACCCCACGGCCATCCTCCCTATGATCAATATTGATGATCGGACTTCTGACATGTACTGACCTGAATTCTGAATGGCTGCTTCTCTACCGGACTTCACACGACATTCAGTTCGTCGGGGGTGGGGGTTGGAACGGTGAACAATCCTTGCGATGGCTATGTTGTACATGACCAACCCAGTAGGTAGTACCTATATAATATATATAGTTATATAACATATCACCAGCAGGCAGGTTATGCTGGATTTGTGTTTTCATCTTTGATGTTGTTCACCATCGTGCGTCTAGGGATTCTTCAGCCAGGCAGGTGGTTGACACCACCCCGGTTGTCCAGGACCTTCCAAGTCCGGTGGTTTTCTTACACCCCGTTCATTACCGACACCCAGAGGCGCCTCGTTCCGGCGAAACCTCTTGGTGTCGGTCCGTCGGCTGAAGATGAGCACCTTTGGGTCGAACGTCTGCGGCAGAGGGCTTTTCGGGGTGGACCAGCTACTGTACAAGCTTTGCGTGACAAGACGACGGTGGACACATGGTGGATGAGTCATGAATGTCAACGCCACAAGCGCCAAATTTGCATTCTGACACTTCTGGGTTGCCTCAATCTCAGGTGCCCTTAAGTTTTAACCCTGCCTCCCAACCTTTCCCAATACTTCAAAAAACCTACTTCCCAGTCACGTCTCGCGGTCAAAAACCTACGGTTTTTCACCCAGACTCTTACTGCTCCATCACTCCATCACTCCACCAACACAAAGCCAGGTGCACTCCGCGGTTTGCCCTACAAAGCTGGACGGTGCGCCGCTGAAGATTGGGGGTGAGACGGATGAGAGCTCGTGTCTTGGAACAGAGAGAGCTTCCAGTTTGCCAGATAAAAAGGTTCTTGGTCTCCCTCTTGGCCACATTTATTCTGATTCTATGGTGTTTCTGTATTTCCCAACAGAACATCATGCCGGACATCAATTGCATCGTTGGTGATGTTTAGGTCAACTGCCAAACCGTTTGGTGTCTGTCACGTACCCAAGCACCATCTCAGGTGCCAAGCGTGAGAGCGCGGCCGCCTGAGAGCGTGTGGCGATCCTCTCTCCGGCACGAAGAATATATAACTCCTGGTCCTTGTTTTCCAAACGGCGTAATATGCTCTCCTGTTGCGTCACATCCTTTCATGGACCGTGATCAAAAGTGTGTCACGTAGAGACTGTAGAGGTCTCTAAATAGATCGACATGAATGCTATACATCGGCTCTCACATGTCAAACACGCCACCATAATGTGCTACCAAGACAGGGGACTTCTCTTTTTTCGGGAGACATTCGTCCGGCACCCGAGAGCTTTGGTCGGGAAGAGTCTTTGAGGACATCGTGAAACAAGTGAAACATGTACTGTGCAGATTGAAAGCATGGAAAGCTGCTGGGGCATGGTACACACATGTACACATCCATTTTTGCGATGAACGTCAATTGTGCTATGTCAGTCTTTTTGAACATCCTACTCCCACTATCATCCACGATCAATGTCTCTCAAGGCAACAGGATGTTCTTCATCTGCATGATGCTTTTGGGGGGGACACCCTTTTTATCAGAGCGGAACATAGCGGCGCGAACGGAAGGGGCTCGCTAAAGCGCCGAATGCCTTGGCCGCGCCTGGAACCGGCTAATACGTGCACAGCCAAT